TCTCTCTCTCTCTCTCTCTCTCTCTCTCTCTCTCTCTCTCTCCCCCCCCCCTCCTCTCTCTCTGTCCCCCTCTAGATTGTGCACATGGTAGTTGTTTCCAACTCATTCACAATTTACACGAGAGCAACCATAGGCAAACTTTGATGGTCAGCATACCACAGCGAGATAGGAGGACGGTGGCTGAACAAGAACGAGACAAAGGAGAGATGATAGATGATGGACAGACCAATAAGGGGTGGCGGGTTGTTGTTGTTGCCCTTTTCTCTGCAACAGCTGCTGTATGAGGCAATTCTCTGTGTCTGGCTGTTGACGTTCTACGAGGGAGCGGCGCAGCAATTTGGGAGCACACAAGTCATTCCTGGACTCATCGATGTCGCCAAGAACTCTACGAAGGAGAAGGTGAGAGGCTTTTTTCTGTAGTAGTAAGTATTGATTCGTTTGATTGCGTACTTCTGTTTTTTTCTTTTTGTTTGTTTTTAATTTGTGGCGCACCTCTTTTTTTCTTCTGTTTTTTATTTTTATTTTTACTGTCAAATATTCTAGGAAAATGAGCAATAGCATAATCCGGAATGCGGCGTGGCATGCCCGCGAGACCTAAGAAATGCATAGGAAAGAAAGTCAAATTCACACCAAAGAAAGTAATCCAAAAATGAATTTGATGCAAGGTTTCTGGATATTGAAGTCCAGAGATTTTGCCTATCCAATAGCAGAATCCTGCAAATAGACCGAATACGGCTCCGACAGAATCGGATTGCACAATCACATTGAAAGCCAGAAAGTCCCACAGTGTCCAGAGAGCAGCATTGCACCAATATTACACCAATGGAGAATCGAAACACTGAAACCGAATGTCAATGAGACCTTTTCTCGTCATCACCAACATAAGAATCCAGGCCCTTCCCCCTACTTGGCGCTCGGCGCCCAGACTACTCATACACGGCTACTATCTGCCTACGAATTGACAATGCAACTGATGACGTCAGCAGCAGCCACCGAAGTACATGAAGATGTCGCCCCCTTGCGGACTATCGCCATGACCAGTTATGTGCCCTCATGTTATCCTCCTCATCTCTCTCTCTTACTCTCTCCCTTGTCTTTCGCCCACGTCGTCTCCTTCACTCACACGAAGGCCACCGCTACCACTTGCTGTACAACCAAGCACCAGCCAGCTATGGAAGCTGGGCTATGGCGCTGCCCTCAGCAGCGCCCTTCCTTCTACACGACCGCACGTGCGTTGCACCTTGCTCTGCGCTAGCAGCAGCCCACGAGCGCTCGCTCCAGTTGCGCTGCCGCAAACTAGCAAGTTCTCGAATGAATGCCCAGGCTGCAAGCACTTTCCTATATGGAAAGAGCTCGGCCTGGCCTGTGGCCTGGCTGGGCTGGGCCTGCGCCCAGAAGCTTCCGGTAGGTCCTGGGTGGCTGGGCCTTCTTTGCTGTTACAGCCTTGGGCCCAGCCACCCAGGACCACCCGGGACCTCCCAACTGCCTGTCGTGTATACTGCTGCAGATGCGCCCCTGGGCCTGCTTCGAAGAAAGGCCAGGAAGGCCGAAACAAAGTGTGGCTGGCCGTGGCCTGGGTCCTTCCAACAAACTTACTCGACGCAACTGCCTGAACCCCAAATGCGAAATGGACAACAATGTGCCCCTCGTGATTTTCTCAGGCTCGCCTTCACTTAAGGCGGGCACATGCCAGAAATGGGGCCCTTAGGCCTGCCGAGGAGCCAAATCCTCGCAAATAGTTCAAGACAGTGGAGAGCGCAGCGGGGGCGGCAATGGAATCTTCTTTTTCTTTTGAGGTTATGTATCGTACCTGGGACCACATGCGATGATTGCAATTCTTGTTTCCGGCGGAGGTACGACAAAACACTGCAAGGATGTGCGCACGCGGGTGAGCAGGAACGATAATATTATGCGCCAGTGTAAGTCTTTTGAGGTTATATCGTGCATGCCGTGATTGCAATTCTCGTTTCCGGTGGAAGTATGACAAAACGCTGCAAGGACAAAACACTGCAAGGATGTGCGCACTTGTATCAGCAGGAATGAGAGTATTCTTCCACTATAACTGCTAAATTGTGCAGCGGGTCTTGGAAGACGCTACCCGTCGGACCCAAGGTGTCCCAGCGGTGTCCCGTTTTTGAGACCCGCTGCCTCTTTGTTTTTGCCGTGTAGGGTTTGTGGTTGCGTTTCTCTTATTTTGTGGCGTAGAGGTGAGGAGCCCGAATTGAGGGCTTCGGGGTCGCATTTCTCTTATTTTGTGGCCGATTCTTTTTTTTCCCCCCCATTTTCTTTATGTAGATGTGTCATCGTCACGCAGACATGCTGACATGTTAATGTGCTCTTTCCAGTTTTAACACCCGTCCTGTCCTCTTCCCTAAAGAAGGGGTCCGTGGCTTTGGTGGCCGATTCTGTCCGTACTTGTGCCACATGTACAAATGGGCCTCGCCGCACTACTCTCCAAATGTGCAAAATGAGAATGAATCTTCGGCTAGAACATGGAAAGATACGCTGACATGTTTTTTGTCTTTTGTGCATGTCGAGAGTAGTGCAGCGAGGGCTGTGCCATATGTTCTAATAATGTGTTGTGGAATCCCTTTTTTTTATTTTTACAGTTGTGGGGTTCAATCCTGCTAGTGCCAACCAACTGACATTTGGCTTGCTCCCCTCTTTTAGGGTCGGTTCATCCCTCGGTCGGTATTGCTGGGTTCTTTGCCCATCACGGTAGGGTCTGTGTGTGTGTGTGTGTGAGGGGTGGGGGTGGGGGGGGATGGGTTGTGTGTGCTGTCTGAGTGCTGGCCATAGATACTGCTGCTGGGAAAGCAGACGGCAGGTGGAGCTTATCTCTTTCTTGGGATTTTCTTTTCTACTTCTCTAAGGGCGTACTCACACTACCGCTTCTTTTTTTGGCCACTGGACTGAATTGGGCGCCTACACATCCTGCTCTGCGAGTTCGGTGTCTACTTCCCGCGCAAACCCATGAATTCAGAGAGTCCCGCGGGCCTTTTCTTCCCCTCGGTTCTTGCCTGTGAGCCCTTTATGCCGCAGCACGCCAAATAACTTGTATGTATTATGTAATTGCCCTTCTGCTGCATGCTTTGTTTTCTCAAATGCTCTTACTGTTTGTTGGAGCAGGTGACCAGAGTGGCTATTCTGTCCTTGAAGAACTTGTTGCAGAAGGCCAATTTCGGGAACGTAATGGTTGATAGCGGGCTGCCAAAGGTTGTTCAAGTTCTGAAGATGCAGGTAAAGCTGTTCAGGCCACTGCTTGTCTGTAGCTTGCCATCTTTGACCATGTTTGTAGAGTGAAATAAAAAGAAGAAGAAGAAGAAGAAGACCATCTTTGATCATGTTTGTAGAGCGAGATAAAAAGAAGGAGGAGGAGGAAGAGGAGAAGAATGCAGGTAAAGCTGTTCAGGCCACTGCCTGTCTGTAACTTGCCATCTTTGATCATGTTTGTAGAGTGAGATAAAAAGGAGAAGAAGAAGGAGGAGAAGAAGAAGAAGAAGAAGAAGAAGAAGAAGAAGAAGAATTTGGACCATCTCTCAAGTATGCAGGTCATCTATGCAGGGTTCGATTGTCAGATCGGAATAGGCGCGCTGCACTACGACTACCATGCTTGAACAAGTGATGGTGAGGAATGGTAGTGTATTCGATGTTTGAACAAGTGATGATCTGTTTCTTGTACAGTTGGTTACATTGGTGTACTATACGTCAAGATTCAGCCCAGATTCAGTCGCAAGGGAGGACACAAATTCAGCTTTTTTTCCAGTAGCTGGTGGAATGTAACTTAAGGATCTGATTGGATCGATGTGAAGTGAGTGTAAGGGTTTGTGATCGTTTCGACGTCCAGGTTCTGTTAACTGTGAGTTAGGGTCGGGCCTCGACACGTGGGTAACGGAGGGCCAAAATTTTTGCAGTTTTTGCCGACGTTTTCGGTGCAAAATTCAGCGAAATTATTAGTAAAAAACAAACTGTATGTATGGACCCATAGTGCAACGGTATATTAAAAAAAAAAAAAAAACAGGCCAAAGAAAATGAAGGAAAAAACTCCAAAACACCATAAAACCCTAACACAAAAACACTTTCTGAGTTTAAAAAATGGAGCGTTCATCGAATCCAACGAAATGCCAACTTTTTCATTATTGATCCAAAGTTCATGTCAAAACTGGACACATGACGTACCCTAGAGCACCCACATATAATCACACAAAGAGAAAATCAAGAAAAAAAAAGAAAAAAATCAGGGCAATATCATGCCAATATGACAGCTTCAGTGCAAAATTCGGTGGAAAAAAAAAAACACCGTCCGTCAACCACGTGTGGCAATAGCGTGATGACTCCGAAGAATGGCGCCAGAAATGAAAACCAACTTTGAAAATATCCGTCGAAACAAAGGAAGATAACATATACAGTTTTGAACCCCCCCCCCCCCTCTCTCTCTCTCTCTCTCTCTCTCTCTCTCTCTCACTTGCTTGCTCGCTCTGTCTCTGTGTCTCTAATCTCCCCTCCCGTCTGCTGGCTCTGTCTCATATACACATCTAGATGTGTATAAGAGACGGGGATGGGCCTGGCGGTGGGGGGGGCGGGGGTGCGAGGGTGGCGGGGGACGGTGGTGCAGGGTGTGTGGGAGGGGGATGCGGGTCGGGGCCAGGGGTGTCGGGTTGGGACAGGGGCGGGGTTCGGTTGGCGGGGGCGGGGTTTCAGAGGTGAACCCCCTACCCCGGCTTGTGCCGTAGGGATCCCTGCGTGGCAACACTGGAGAGCGTTCTTTTTTTTTGTTTTGTTTTCCGGTTTTGCCGAAGGAAGAATTATCGTGAAGGCCAAAGCCTTTGAATTCATCACGCTTTCAAAACAACAGAAAGAGAAAAAATTGGGCCATTTGTTGATGTATGCATGCCGTCCTTGCTTGTGCAGGGGGGCCATGCTAGTCTATCTTCTCTGGATCGTTCCAATTTTAATGGATCTCCGGGAGGACATAGTGGAGGTGTTTTTATAGCAGGGATTAATTATTAACGGTTGTGGTGGGTGGTGGTTTGGTTACCGGTAATAGGAGTTGCGTGGGCTGTGTGATGAAGTAGAGAGTTAAGGTGGTAGTGGCAAAGGTGTACTTGTCTCTGTCTCAAATCCAAGCTCTGCTCCATCGCATATGGGTATCAGGCAGTGGAGTGAGCGAGGTCGAGAGGAGGGAGAGGGTGGGAGGAGGAGGGAGAGGAAGAGCAAAAAAAGGCTTCCTGGTCCTGGACGTTTTCTTACCACAATTACGTCCAGCAAAGCAACCAGAAGGTGTCCTAGCCGGTCGAGAAAATGTGAGCAGATGCCCGCCGCAGAAATGTGCTTCATGCGCTTGGTTAGCTTTCGTTCTGTTGTTTCTGAACTTTCTGCCCCCATTGTCAACGGTAGCTTCCTCTGTCTACCCTACGGTTTCACGGGCCCAAGTCCGTCGATCGAGGCTCCTTACCCTCTGCGAGTAGGTGCAAAGTGTGGTGGTCCAACCCCTTGTTCTCTGCTGCATCTGCTTTATGTAGTGGATTTCAGAGGTTGTCCTTGCTCGTTATTTCTGAGCTCTACGCCCCCGTTGTGAACGGTAGCTTCCTCCGTCTACCCTATACGGTTTCACGGGGCCAAGTCCGTTGATGTAGGCTCCTTACACTCTGCGCGTAGGTGCAAAGTGTGGCGGTCCAACCTCTTGTTCTCTGCCGCTTCTGCCATTTGTAGTTTTGAATTCAAAGGTTGTCCTTGTCCTGGAAGGTGTTTGCAGGCTGCTGATACAAAGGGTAGGAATGTTGGGGGCTGATTTTGGCAGCAGTGAACCGCAAGTGCTATGGAAGGTCCCCCTTTTCCGCCATGTTACAGAGGGGGCAGGTCACTGGCATCAGGTCTGCACAGTCCGCCAGTAGAGCCGGTGTTCTAAAATGGATGTGGACCAGCATCGGCATCAGATCCATCGACAAACTTTTTCTCCGAAGGGAGCAGGTTTCTCTTCTTAGCACAGCACACACCATAGCCAAGGTGGTATTTCTCTCTTACCTTTTTCTCTGACTTTCGGTGAAACGCCGCAGTGAGCCGTCTTCCCCCAAACGCAACGCACCCCCATCATGACTGTCGGTATCGGATGGGAAAACATACCGTGCTATGTAATATTATTATTCATATATAGAATAGTTGAATATTGTACATTTGTGATGACCGTGCGTTCTATTCGGGGCAAGAAAGGTAGCTGATCGTCTTCTCACCTACCTTTTCCCTCTTTTTCCTGCTTGTCGATGGGCAGAGGCAGAATGTGGAATTCAGTGTGTGCATAACCTTGTGTACACAAGACAACACACGCGCCAGCTGTGCAGAGAATAGTCAAAACGACTCTAAAACCATCCAAAAAATGTGAAAGAGGTTTAAAAAAATGAGGGTCGCTCTTGCTCTTGTTCTGGTTATTCACCCAATCCATGGTGATATCGACATTCTTCCTTCTGGGACTCGTAGCGCATCTGGCTGAACGCCGGTCTTGCTCCTGAAATTCTCCAAAACGGTCAAAGAAAAACCGTTCCGAGCCCCTTCTTCTTCTTGCCTCCCTCCTTCTCTCTCTCTCTCTCTGTCTCTCTCTCTCTCTCTCTGTCTCTCTCTCTCTCTCTCTCTCTCTCTCTCTCTCTCTCTC